TATCCATGGTTTTATTTGAGTGTAACATCAATTGAGATAATATAAAAAGTCAAGAGTAGTGAATCTTTATCACCATATTTAAATTATGGGATGTTAGAAGATGAAACAGTCTTCAAAGGATATTGCTCCCCAAGCTCTTTGGAGCCCAGAGGATTGTTTTCCAAGTTTACAATGCTGGTCATTAAAACTGCAAGATTTGAAATTTCTTTGTTGTATTTGATGACTTGTAGCAATTTTTCTCATTCAAGATAGGAATGTTTGGGGGGCTGGAGAGATGGCTCAGGAGTTAAAAGCACTGACTGCTTTTCCAGAGGTCCTGAGTTCAATTCTTGGCAACCACATGGTGGCTCACAACCATCTGTAATGAGATCTGATGCCCTCTTCTGGTGTGCAGGAAAACATGTTGTATATAACCAATAAATAAATCTTAAAAAAAAAAAAGATAGCAATGTCTGCTTGGTTCTGTTCCTTTAGAGAACCCTGACCAAGTCAAACTATGGTACCAGGAACATGGGATACAGTTGTAGTTTACTTGACAGTGACAGCCAATCACATCAGATTGAGAAATTGAACTCCCACCAATCACTGCCTGTGTCAGGTGTTATTCCTTTGCGGTGCCTTTAAGGGCTAACCACGCCCACTCCCAGCCACTTCTGACCTCCCTCGCCGCCATCTTAACTCTCTCTCTTTTGTGTTTGTCTCTTGTCATGTGTACATGTGTCTCTGTTTCTATGTTTCTCTTTATGTCTCTCTGTTTTCCTCTTCTATAAGCAATAAATGTCTCCCTCTTCTTTAAGTAATACTATGTCCTGTGAGCCTTTTATCCACCGTAACTGCCCCCTGACTCCCCCGGCCACATGGGGCTGCCACCCTGGAGATCTTACAGGGACCCACAGCCATCCTTGTCAGACTAGCAGCTGCTCTGCGAGCCTGCCAGGGAACACGCCGCTCTTTTTTTAAAGAACAATATCAGGGATAAAAGAGAGAGGCCATTCTGGCAAACGTGTTCACTAGCCTGGTCTTGATTCTGGTATACCTTTTTACATAAAATATTTTTGGTTTGTTCATGTATTCCTTAGTTCAACACCTAGGTTATTTTTTTCCAAACAGTATGGCTCAAGTCTAGCCAATACAACATGAATGGAAAGTATTGACTTTTTCTGATTGTTTTACGCTTCCAAAAGCAAAACTAAAGTGGATAAACTGAGCTGTGAAGAGGGGACAGATGCATTGCAGAAATGTTGGCCTTTGATCTACAAGGCCTTTGAACCTAGTTTAGCAATCAACTACCTTTTTAGGTCGTTATATAAGAATGAATTTCTATTTGTTTGGACATCTATATTCAGGTACTTACTTATGTCCTGAAGCTTAACTACTCTGAACTAAAATTTCAGAATGTACATTAGCACATTTAAGGATCTGAAAAGGACCTGAGAATATTGCCTAAATTTGTTTAGGTAGCCTTTTCTTCTGTACTAGACATTAACATTCCAAGGAACTATGATTTCCCTATACTCTTACTTTTCAGAACATCATTCCTAGACCAGTAACACATATGGCTTCTGGAAGCGTGTCAGAATTTTTGAGACAGTGAACACTGTTCCAGGCTGGCACTATCTCACTGTATGGCCCAGGCTGACTTCAAACCCATAATCCAACGGCCTCTAGCTCCTGAGTGCTGGGATTATAAGTGTGTATTGCCCTGCAAGCAACCCTGAGAGAACCCTAATACAAAACACACAAAACAAGGCTATGTAGAGAATAAAATGAAGGTTAAAAAGGTAATCTAGCTTACTGGCCCTTAATTCCATATGTTATAGCAGGTTTACAGCTTCCGCTCCACGGCAAAGTGACCTTGGGCCGGCTGCTAATGTCTGTTTTATAGATGGGATAACTAAGGCTTGGAGACATTAGCAGCCGGCGCAAGGCCACTCTGCCATGGAGCGGAAGCTGTAAACCTGCTATAACATATGGAATTAAGGGCTAGTAAGCTAGATTACCTTTTTAACCTCCATTTTATTCTCTGCATAGCCTTGTTTTATGTGTTTTGCATTAGGGTTCTCTCAGCCTGCGATGATTTCCCCAAATATATCTAGTTTAGGCTTCAGCTCAAAACTTCGAAATCTCTCTAATGCTACCCCACCTCCACCCCCACGTCAGGACCCTGTTTTACAGCATACAACCACAGAGACGCACATTTCTCCTTTCTACTTAACAGCTTTCGAAAACATTTACTTTCTTCGTTTTTCACAAGCCAGGTTTTAATATGAAGCCATCAGGATTCCAGTGGGGACTTTTCATTTAGGGGTGTGACATCATCCAAACTCTGCATTAAATGAAATGTATCCGAAGTATGCAGGAATTGAACTGGGGAAATGAGATGGAAATGAGTAAACATTCAAAGATAACGTTCTCAAAGAAACCAATTAGTCAGAAATCTAAGCAGCGGAGATAAAGGGGATGGGATTGGGGAAGTGAGTTAATCACAGAGGGAAACCAAGGTATAAAATAGAGGTTAGAATTGTTATGGTCTCTAATGGTGAATCAGTCCCACACCAGTTACGTTTTAAAGGGGTTATTTATTTTGGGGGGTAAAACTTACATACACGATAAACCGTCAGGAAGGGAGCCTAGTCACTGGAGCAGGAGCCGGGAGCAGGAGCCAGAACCAAGCGCCGGAACCAAGAGAGCCTAGCCGAGCTTGCCGCTCTTCTTTTAAAGAGAAATATACCACGTGCCAGTGGGCTGGTATTTCAGCGGCTATTGGCTGACAGAGCGGAAGGCGCTCTCGCAGCAGGTCTCTCATCATCTCTTCCCTTTGGGCTTATCTCCTTAGGTGATGGAGTGCAACCTGAGAGCTTCTTGATCCTTTCCCCTTTGTTTCCAAGACTCTCAGGGTGGGCTTCATTGATATGGCTACCAAGGTGATGATTGGAGAGAACATTGCATCCTCCTACACAGAAGCACCCCATCATCCCTGCTGACTATGTTGCCATTAAGGTTGCATTTTACACTGTGTGTCATTTTATGAGCAGAGGTGAAATGAAGGGGAACATTTGCCCCATTTTTTTTTTTTACTTGATGGACCTGCTGAGCTGATGACCATCTTCCTTTCAAAATGTACTGAGGTTGTACTGTAAGCAACCTCACATGAGCTATTTGTTTTTGCAGAAACATTGATAGCCATCAAGGATAACATTACTTCAAAATCAGCTAGGTAAGTGGATTATAGGCCTTAGAACATTGACTTTCTATTTTAACTTTTAGATCTGTGACCAGCTCTAGGGATATTGACACTAATAAGTTTTAGAACCTTCGTGTACAGTACTAGTGTTCTGTGCTTGCCCATCAGTTGGGACAATTTACACCAAGCTTAGCACCTGTCTCTTTGGCAAGGACGTCATACATTCTCCAACTTGGAAACTAGGAGAGTTCTGAATGATACCTTCAGACTCATTAGAGCCCAGTGCTTGTAATAAGGATCCTCATAGGGTCAGTTACCCAATTCCAAAACTTCATCCTCATTTCATCCAAGAATTGACTGTGGGTCTTGTTGCAGAACATTCCCCCACTCAAGCACTTCTTTCTTACCGTTGACTTCTCCTATGATTTCTCCCATAACTAGCCTTTCTCCTCAAGCAGAGGCCAGAATGAAGGCCGAGGAACAGATGGATGACTGACTGTCTTTGTCATGTTTCTCTTGCCTTTTCCTGTCAGGTTGTGTGTTACAGTTCTCCGGACACCAAAGGGGCCACTGCATTAAGGACTGTTGCAATGCGTTTGCATGTTAGATTTCTGACAGACATGACAAGTCTGGGAGCTGAGGACACTGCTCTCTGGATATGTCTAAAATGAGCAGGGCACATTGAAGGTTGAAGAAAGGAATTCTTGGCACAGTTCCAATAGGTCAAAGATGCCAAATTGTTCAGAGGCAGTAAGATTACAGAAGTGATTCTCTTGGCACCAGCAGGAGGCAGCCATCTTGCTGACCTGCCTATGGTGGCCCCAGTGATGAAAATACTTACAATATGCAATTGGTGTGTGTCTTTTCCCCCTAACTTTGCTGTCTGGGCTCAATCTTTTGGATCTGACACAGAGTTAGCATGCAAACAAATTTTGAAAGCTCTTTCTTTTACCCACACATAAAATTATCAATCTAGATTCATTCCAAGAGCCACAGGGTGCTGTCAAATAATTTCACTTAGCCACAAACAATTGGATCTGACTTTTTGCTTCTTTGCTAACCTTATAACTTTGAGCATTAACCAAAACTCAGAAATTCTCAGTTCAGCTAAATGGCAATAGTCCTACCTCCCCAGGGCTGACATATGAAGCTGACATATCTCTGGTTGCTTCTCCACCATCGACTAACACCGAATGTAAACTAAAGCCTATGAAGGAAGGTGTGAACTACAGAAATATCCTGAAGATGAATAGTACTTACATTCTTTGAGATCCTAGATTGTGCGTAACAGTTTAACTCTGCAGCCAGAGACCTGTATTCAAAGCCCAGCTTGTAATACTTATCTATGCAGTCGATTTGGTCAAAATATCCATCATTAGTTGTGTTTTGTCTTATGCTCTGTCAGTTGCATCATACAAGATTGATTGATTGATTGATTGATTGTATTTTTTATGAGATGGGTTCACTGTGCAGCCCTAGCTTTCCTGGAACACACCTGTAGACCAGGCTGGCCTCAAACTCAGAGATCCAATCCATTTTTGCCTCCTGATTTGTTGGATTAAAGGCATGCACAACCATACCCAGCCATACTTTGTTCATTGTTTCAAATTTAGGCTTGTGTTATTACTTAACCATGTTAATTAGTTTATGCTGTTTTCTATACAGTTTGAACTCTTATCATACCCCTATATACATAGAAACTCAGTAAACATTAACAAAATCTACGTTTATTTGTTGGGTATTTCATATCTCCCGAACTAAAAGTACATTAAATAATATAATAAGTGCAGGATGAAGAATGAAAAGTCACACACGATTGCCAACACCATGCAAATATTTATTCAGGATTGTATTTCTCAAATATTTCAAACGAATATAAATTGCAGAAAGAGGCCAATTTGGAACAACTAAATGACATTTGGAATAAAATCATTTGGCCTAATTTTCATAACCACGGATTTCAAGGAATACCACCATCCATGCCAGGTGTACCAGACGACTCCATTATCCGTCTCTGCTGTGTAGGGGCCCTGATAGTACACCCCATTCAGGTTTGCAGAGTGACACCTAGTGGGAGAGCAAAAGAAAACAGAACAGTCAGAAGGAAAGACCGCATCAGAAACTTTATCTTGCTAAGAAACGGTAAAACTTTTAGATAATGACTTCTGTTGTTTCTCAGAAACACATCATTTCCCCAAACCTGAAACTTCTACACAAACAAAGGTCATTGTTTAAGCAAGTGAGTTTTGGTCCCACCTCAAACCATCCCAGACCCACTTGGAGTGTGTTGAAAAATAAGCATTTCAGTTCTTAGTAGCTTTTTGTGGTAGTTTGAATGCAGTTGGCCCCCATAAGCCTATAGGAGTGGGGCTGTTAGGAGGTGTGGCTTTTTTGGAATAGGTGTGGCCTTTGGACACACTTTGGAGGAAGTGTGTCTCTGTGTGGGGAAGCTTGGCTGTCTCCTTTGCTCAAGCTGAGACTATTTCCTGTTGTCTTCTGATCAAGATGTAGCCAGTATCATGTCTGCCTGCATGCTATCATGCTTCCCACCATGACAACAATGGACTAACCTCTGGAATTGTAAGGCGCCATCTCAATTAAATGTTTTTCTTTATAAGAGTTGCCGTGGTAAACCGGGCAGTGGTGGCACACACTTTTAATCCCAGCACTCAGGAGACACAGGCAGGCAGTTCTTTGTGAGTTCAAAGCCAGCCTGGTTTACAGAGCTTTTTCCAGGACAGTCAGGGCTACACAGAGAAACCCTGTCTTGAAAAAACACACAAACAAAAAAAAGTTGCTGTGATCATGGGGTCTCTTCACAGCGACAGGAACCGTGACTAAGACACCTTTAAACAAAAAAAGAAAAAGAAGCAAAGAAAAATGTCATTGTAACCTTCATCTACATCCTCCTGGTTGAACAGTGTTAGCCTCATGCTTGGCCACAAGGGCACAGTAAAGATGTGGGGACAAGCAAAGAAGACGGACAAGCGGTTCTACTGCAGCTTCCAGAGTAGTTTGTACTTCCAAGTTCACCAGTCTACAGTCGAGATACAACTTTCATGATTCAGATTCCCTTCTTTACCTTCTTTGGTTGTTAGCGTATCAATTATTTGCATCTTCAAGATAAGCAAACAGAACCTAAACCTCCTTTTAAAAACTTCCCAGCTATCAGAAAACAATCTTTTGTTTGACTTGTCAAGTTAATTTTTCACATATACTGTACCAATCTAAATAGGTCTGTTAGGTTATTCTAAAATTTAATCCTTTCCTTCTTCCTCCTTTGGGGTCTACACATTCGCCTGTCCTTGGCATACACAAATTTCATGTAACAGTTTGTTGTCGTTTTCCTGTTATGATATTAATCACCATCTATTATTTATTGCCATAACTAATGAAAAAATATCAGACTATAGGCTATGAGAAGAATACTCAGAACTAGTTCTGAGAAAAGAAACAAACCATTGAATCAGAAAAGCAAAGAATTCATTCATAAATGCAAAGTAGCAGGCTTGAGTCACTAAGCTTGTGATTTGCTTTCACTGACCATCCTGGCGGTACTCCTAATTTAAACAGCGAGGACTAATCAAAACCATGCCCGCTAAGTCTGCAGGGATTCAGCATCCACTATGTTTCTAAAGTACCATGAGAAGCAACATTTGAAAAGGAAAACCCCCAGAGTACCTAGAATAAATATTTGGATACGTTTATCTAGAGAAACTATTATGTTTGGTTTGATTTGGAGCCTATTGAGAAATGGGCTGTAGGGTCCACTACTTAGTATTCTGAGACCAGTGTTCCGGTATCCTTCAGTCTCTAGCCTGAACTGACACTAGTTATTAAAGATTGACACTCCAAGGTAAAGAAGTGTCCGGGGAACTGGCAGCGTAGTGGTGGTCGCCGGGGAGAGATACGACTCGCAAAGATGCGAGGCCTGAAAGGCAAGGGAGGTAGCAATGAGGGTTTTATTTATTTTATTTTTCTCTTGGCTGTGACCAAATACCACAATGTAAAGAAGTACTGGCATTGGCTCGTCATTGTAGGGTTGGAGTCTTTCCCGGTGGAAAAAGCAGAGGGTGTTGAGCATCAGTGGTAGGAACGCTTGGCAGCTGTTTTTTAGATGACTTTGAGTAAGAAGCGGAGTACTCCTACGTGGGTGGGGTTGGATAATAAATACAGACACCCGGAGGGGGCGTTGCAATTCCAGTCCCAATAGTGAGAAACACTGAGAAGTGCCAACAATTCCCATCAATTCGAATGCGACACGGAAAACAAAGAGTTAAGGCTACGTTTCGGGAACAATTTCCTTTCTCTCTAGGGTGACCTGTTTTTCTTGGGTAGTGCCAGCTACTAAATTGCCTTTTTTGATATTTCCAACCCCTGTCTCGAAAGTCAACTATATCATTTATTTGCCTTCCTTATTAGTTATGAGGCTGCCATTCACTCAGGAGTAGAACAATCCAACCAACTGGAAGATGTACACACTCTAGGTCTCAGTAATATTAACGTTGATTTCTTCAAGTCTGTTCAAAATCAGTCATTAATGAATGTTCACAGATGACAAGTTATAAATGCTGCTTACTTACAAGAAGAGGAAGGAATAAAGAAGAAGAGGGGAACCATCTTTTTGTTTTTTAAGAAAAGGAAGCTAAGAGGGAAGAGATGTTTCACCATGTTTCACATTAGCACAGTAGGAAAAAAGTGATTTAATGATCTTCCTTCTCTGCTCCCTCACGCTGTTGTGTGTACTCCATCTCCTTAATAAATGGCCAACTGTTAAACAAACTCAATTTTTGGAAAAGTAAAACCCAGCAGGAAGCCTACTCTTTTTACAACCGCATACATTTCCCTTAATTGATGGAAATTCCTTAAATTCATTGTATCTACATTGAAATCTACCTCTTTAAAGCCAGCCAGCTATGACTGTTTCCACCTGTAATTCCAGCACTTGGGAGGCTAAGGCAGGAGGATTGCCATGCGTTTGAGGACAGACTGCAGACTGTACTGCGTAGTAAGGCCATGTCTCAGGTAAGCAAACCAAAAAATAGTAATTAATTAAAAGCCAACACATCACAGCAAGCGATGTTATAGTGAAGACTCTCATGGTTTTTAGAAATTGTTAGCATGCATAGAATAGATACACTCACAGCATATAGAGTCTAATTTTAGCATGTACAGAATAGATCCACTCACAGCATATAGAGTCTAATTTTAGCATGTACAGAATAGATCCACTCACAGCATATAGAGTCTAATTTTAGCATGTATAGAATAGATCCACTCACAGCATATAGAGTCTAATTTTAGCATGTACAGAATAGATCCACTCATAGCATATAGAGTCTACTTTTAGCATGTATAGAATCGATCACTCATAGCATATGGAGTCTACTTATAACGTATATAGAATAGATCCAATCATAGCATATAGAGCCTACTTTTAGCATGTATAGAATAGATGCACTCATAGCATCGAGTTTATATTTTGAGATGCTTTATTTACATTAAAAAATTATATAGATTATGGGATTTACATGGATAGTCCACTTATATGGAAAACACTACACTCCAAAATTGCCTAAGATTTCTTAACGGAAAGTTTAGGTGTCCATACATTTTGAAGTGGCTCCTGTTTTCTAAGGAAAACAGAATATTTCCAAAGCTGATGTTTCATTCCACTTTGCCCCACACCTGCTTTGCAGAGGTAGCGCACCAGCTGGCTCACTTTAGAGGAAAGCTGCATGGAGTTTCCATCTGCACCTAACTGATCCTACAAAGATGCAGCTTGGGAAAACAAAAAGGGACCAGGAGCATTTGGTCCAGAGATGAGACAACTCGAAACGATACAAAGCGCTACCTCTCTTTCAAGGCCTAAAGAATTCTGCTGAAATGGAATCGCCTCTACTCTATGGCTACTGAGAGGGAACTGGGCAAGAGGGCAGATCTCAGCTAGGCACCATGAGTGGTACATGTCTGGTCTGCAGTTCCAGCATTTGGGAGGTAGAGTCAGTGGTCGTATTAGGGCTCAAGATCACTCTCAGAGCACTGACTGCTCTTCCAGAGGTCCTGAGTTCAATTCCACAACCATATGGTGGCTCACAACCATCTATAATGAGATGTTGGTACACTCTCCTGGCATGCAGTCATACATGCAGGGAGAACACTGTTAACATAATAAATAAATAAATCTTTAAGAAAATGTTTAAAAACATTTTTAAAAGAAGAATGAGCTTGATGATAGTGGTGAAATATTCAAATAGCAGCTATGATAGGATTAAGTGTTAAGACCATTGTAGCAATTTTTCCTACATTGGGAAGGCTTGCATTAAATGAACTAATAAACGTCACGATGAATGAAAAGTAGTACAAAATTAGAGCAGTAATGGGGATTATCTTGTAAGAGATGAGACAATGGAGAGATGGCTCAGTGATTAAAAGCACTGGCTGCTCTTCTAAAGGTCCTGAGTTCAATCCCAGCAACCACATGGTGGCTCACAACCATCTGTAATGAGATCTGGTGCCCTCTTCTGGCTTGAAAGCATGCTTGCAGGCAGAATACTATATACACAATAAATAAATCTTAAAAAAAAGAGAGAGAGAGATGAGACAATGAAGAGTTAGTTGGTTCACAGAGAGTCGCAAATTCCTTCTTCCTTCCTCCCTTCCTTCTCTTCTCATGCTTTCTTTTTAAAAATTTTAAACAATAAACTTCACTATAAAAACATGCAAATTAAAAACATCACTTTGGGTCTAGCTGATTTCACTGCATGGTGCTTTTTTATTTATTTACTGTTTATTTTATTAAGGCAAGTGCCTACTAGCCTAGACCTCATATAATACCTGATGGCCTCACCTTCCCAAGTGCCAGGATTACAGGTGTGAGCCATCACATCTTGCTCACAAATATGTTTATGTGTGCATGCTCTCTACTTCCTCATGCCAATTTAGGGCCTTCTTGTTATAACTCAACAGTAACTCAGTTTTCAAAACAAAATCCTTGTAGAAGTGTAAGTTTGATTTATTTCCAAAACATATTATTGGAAAATTTTGTTTATTTTGTGTGTGTGTGTGTGTGTGTGTGTGTGTGTGTGTGTGTGTTTTCAAGACATGATCCCAGGCTAGCCTTGAGGTTGCTATGTAGCTGAGACAGGCCTTGAACTTGTGGCGATCCTCTTGTTTCTGCCTGCATCCAAGTCCTGGGTTTACTGAAATGTGGTACCACACCCAGCTTCTGTTACATATTGTTCAGGCTTTACTAATGTGCATAGTGAACCTCAAAAACACCTCACAGCTGAAGAATTCTGGTGAGGATGACGTAGCATCACACATAAGGCCACCATCACCTTACTTGGTATAACTGACGCCATTATCGCCCTTACGGCCGTGTGTGCAAAGCACCAAACCTGTTAAACCACCAGCCAGACTGCTCCTCCTCAGCACAGTTCCCGTCGTAGTTGTCATTGTCTCTGTCCCACGTGCTGAACTTCATTCTTCGATGACTAGCCCACCACTGCACTTCAGGGTGAAAGGTCCCTGAAAGGGCGTCGCCGGCTGTTCCAGAATATTCTCCAATGTTCAGTTCATAAAAGGACTGAGGAGGGGAGAGAGCCATTTTCACTGTCAGTAGGAAGCACTTGAAAAAACGTTAAACAAACGAGTTTATATTATGTATTTTTATTTCTACAGCCCTCAAAGCTTTGTTGCTTCATTTCAGTGTTAACTAAAAATACTGCCTTGATTAAATTTTAAAAATTAAAACTTTTAATACCTTTTTATCACCAACTTTAAAATGTTTGTATTGTGCAAAGCGACTATTTTTCTCAAAATCTGTCAGGTCAATTTTTAAAGTATAATCTCCTAAAAAAAAAAAAAAGAAAGAAAGAAAAAGTAAGAAATTATTGTTGTTTAAATATATGACATGATATTGACTTTTAAGGCTAAAAATAAATTGTAGTTCTATTTTACTTTTACCATTTCCTCTGCCAAGAATCAGTTTTCAAAGAATAAACAGTGACTCCAGCATAAAACAGTGTGAGCATTTTATTGTTTATTTTACTTGAAAATGACAGCAAAATAGCACAGTTGAAAAGTTCTACTGTCTGAAGAATACAAACAAATCTAAAAATAGTGTATGATTCACTTTGTCAAGAACAGAAAATATTATTATTTAGTTAATGGATTTAAAAAGCCAGGCGGTGGTGATTTACACGTTTGATTCCACTCTTCAGGAGTCAGAGGCAGTGAGTTCAAGACCAGCCTGGTGTATAGAGTGAGGTACAGGACAGCCAAGGCTACACAGAGAAACCCTATCTCAAAAAGCAGAGAGAGAGAGAGAGAGAGAGAGAGAGAGAGAGAGAGAGAGAATGATGATGATGAAAATAGTAGATTTAAGAATTATGTTTATTCCATTTGTCTTAATTTCATAAGAATCTAGGTTTAACACTAATTACTATTAACAACACCTTATGACCCCAGCAGCCAGACCATGCTTCATCATACAGTCACCCTCACTTGCATATGCGTGTATCTGATGGGTTTTTGTGTAGAATAAAAGGTCAGCTAGGAAGGTATCTAAGAACAATATGAAGAAGAAACAAGAATCCTGGTTGTTTTATGAAAACCTCTCCTTGTTAGCATCAAAGCCCAGGGAACAGATGTCATTGGAAGAGGGGATCAGGAAGAGCAGAGGAGTACCTCAAAAAGCTCAGAGAGAGAGAGAGAGAGAGAGAGAGAGAGAGAGAACACGCAGAAGGAGGTCATTATTGAAACCATGCTGACGTCAGTGACTCTTCATCAAGAGGATTTTCTGGAGTTTCCAAGCCAATGGGAAAATATTTAAAACAAACTGAATTTATTTGGCATACAGTCTTATTTATGCATGCTAGAAATGATACATATTGAAGAAAACTCTGAATATAAAAAGAGATACTATGATGACTATAAAAATTCTAAGTTATAAAAAAATATTGTGTGAAACAAATTAGTGAAGTAATAAAGTCATCCCCTTGCCCCTTTTCCATTGTTCCTGTTTGTGAATGACAGGCTGGTATTCCTCCTGAAGCACAACTGTTCTTAAATATTAGAAATTTGATGGGTGTGGCATAACATTCCTATCACTAAGGAGGAAAAGGCAGGAGAATTATGACAAGTTCAAGCCAGCCTGGTCTGTACAGCAAGTTCTGGGCTAGCCTGGATATATGGTGAGACTCTGTCTCAAAGTGAAAATTACAAGTCAAATGACTAGGTAACATATAATTTTACCTTCCTATCTTGTTCAATTGAGTACCACAATAACCTCACAGACTGGTGAAATTTAGAGCTTCAGATTTCTTGCAGTTTCAAGTCCAAATAAACAGGGCCCTTCAGTCCAGTCTGTGGTTGGTACCTCATTTCCTATCTCCATCAAATGTTGTGCACTAACAGGCCTTGAACATCCCTTGTGGACACCCTAGCTCTGTCTACACCTATTGTAAAACGCTGTTTATTGCCTGTTGTGGAATAGTTGACTAGGCAAAGATGTGTTACATTTGTTGCCGCATTTATTTAGCAATGTAAATATGTATTGCTGTTTTGCCTTGCCTGCCTAAGGCACCTGATTGGTCTAATAAAAAGCTGGATGGTCAATAGATAGGCAGAAGAGAGATAGGCGAATCTGGCGGGAAGAAAGAATAAGTAGGAGGAGGAATCTAGGCTTGGAAGGAGAGAAAAGAAAAGAAGAACGGAGAGGGGAAGATGCTCAGGGCCAGCCAGCCAGGCAGCAACCAGTCAGAGACACATGAAATAAACAGAAAAAGTAGGACATACAGAATGAAAGAAAGGTAAAAATTCCCAAGGCAAAGCATAGATGGAGAGAAACAGGTTAAATTAAGTTATGAGAGCTAGTGGCACAAGTGTAAGATAAGGCTGAGCATTCATAAATAATATTAAGTCTCTGCGTCAAGTTTTGGGAGCTGGCTGGTGGTCCAACGAAAGCCAACTACAGCAACCGAAGGGCAGAAAAAGAAGAGCATTGAATGAATCTTAAGAACAAAGTTCTAGGCTATTTGAAGGAGAATTCTGGATTCTCGTTTCTGGGACAAGTATGGAAAGGGGTTCTCTTCAGTTAGATCTCCCCAAAAGTATTAACTTAGCTCATATGAGCCAAACCCATAGCATGAATGGACACAGTAGAATGGGATATGTCAGTTATCCCCAAAAGTATACGTGGAGAGAAAATATTACACATTTTTTTAAAAGAAAAATGTCTAAATTTTGGTCAATAAATGAATAAACTTGCAAGTAGAAATTATTTCTAGATTAATTTTATTGCAGACAGTTCCAAAAAACTTAGGTAAATAAATAAAGCTATTTTTAAAGACAATTTGAGTAGCCTTAACTGCTGTCATAATTAAAGAGTATAAGAACAGAGGCAATTTCTTCTGTTTGAGCTATGATACTTTATGCAAGGCATGAAATTGATAGATACATTTCTCTATGCAAGGTATGAAATTGTTAAATACATTTCTCTATACTATCCAAGAGCAACCATCTTGAATACCAAATGCGAAAAGGGATGTGTATGTAGATCTGTGGTAGAACACATGCTTCGTATGTGCAAAGGCCTAGTTTCAACATCCAGCCCCAAGCAAGAAAAGATGAAGGGGAATCAGATTTATTGAAAACATCCACCCAGGCAAAAGTATACGCACAAAAATAACATGAGAAATTAGCTTGAATTTTGGGTGCTTAAAATGACACAATGGTATTTTCATAGCTTAAACCATGATCCAGAAAAATACTAATATAAAGAACAAACAGAATGAGGCATGATAAATGTTACATAGCTGGCAAAAGATATACTCTTAAAATCAGGATAATGTATATACTGAGGAAAGGAGACATTGTGTAGATTCAGAGACCACTGATGAGAGGGAGCACCATGATACACTGGATTATGCAAACTTTCTAGCTACCACTTGTGCATCTCAAAGACCCTGGTAATCAGTGCTCTGCTGACTATTTTGGATATAGACTGACCAGTAGTTGCCTGAGCTTGGTTGGAACAAATAAGCCTTGGCATTGTCAGTGTGATTCAATTTGTCTTCTTGGGCAGTGCAACCGTGATTTATGAGACATTGAGTCCCAGACCTAAAGGGGGTTGACTGCAGTCTCAAGCTATCAGTAAGCTAAGGAGGATGACAGATGGGAACAAAAGGCTATGAAAAATAAAACACTGAAAAATTTTTATGGAACAAAACTTTAGACAAATAACTCTAGTTATAAACATACACGTGAACATGTATGGACAGAATTGTATAGAGGGTCACCATTGCTTTTAAATCATTTTGTGTGTGTGTGTGTGTTTTCAAGATTTATTTTTATGTGTACATGTGGGTGTCTGTGGGTAATGCCACATGCGCGGGTGCCTTCAGAGGCCAGAGAGGAGAGTTGGGTTCCCTGGAGCTGGGGTTACAGGCAGCTGTGAGTTATCTGATGTGGGTGCTGGGAGGAGCAATATGAACTCTTGAACTCTGAGTCATTTCTCTAACCCCAAACTACTACTGTCTTGAAGTAGTAGTGGCTTATCACATGGTATTACTGTGGTAATAAATTATGTCTCTCTCTCTCTCTCTCTCTCTCTGTGTGTGTGTGTGTGTGTGTGTGTGTATAATTGTCAGTCACTCAAATTTTTAAAAATTATTTTGAAATAATTTTTAAATTAATTTTAAAATAATTTTTAAATTTTAAAATAATTTTTAAATTATTTTGAAATAATTTTCTATTTCAAGGAATAGAAAACATAGAAAATACATGTTTACCTACCAATCTAGTTTCTTTGCCTCTAATCCCTGTTTTAAGTAGCATTTTACAAAAGGGGTAGTAGCTCAGCAGGTATCATTACATCTGAAAAATCATGATATCTACTGAATTTTTTTCTATTGCCAATGATTTAGTGTGAAATACTACATGGCCTTTGTTTGTCTAGAAGTCCTGGGACCTGAACCTTAGACTTGCTGCCTTCTGTATGCAAGTACAAAACTTACCTTGCGTAGTCAGTAAGTTAAGGTTTTTATTACCCAGCCAATATTCACCATTTCTTTGGACAAAGTTCCCAAAGCCACTTTCGTAGTCATTCCAACCCCTAAGAAGTTGAAGTTGAAAATTATTTTTAGTGAAACACAAATGGTCACCTGCAGCACCCATCCCGTTCCTCCCATTTTCTTATCTCCGTGTTCTCTTGCTGAGTTCGCTCACACGCATATTCTTACTTGTGAATGAAAACATAAAGTTTGTCGTATTACTGAATTTGAGGCAGTAAGAAGGCTTAGCTAACAAATCTCAGTCTGCTGTTCTAACGAATTTACTGGTTAAAAGCAGTTACCTGCTAAAGTTCTCACTGCCGTCAGATCGTCTCTGAATTACAGTCCAGCCTCCTCCGTCAGACATGTCACAATACACAGAGAATTTTGCCTGGCTCCGGAGAGGTTTGATTTTGTAAAATCCACTCTGTTTAAATCCATCGTTGTAAATCTCTGAGCAATCTGTTTACAAAAAACAGACACTTGTTGTATGTTTTTGTTCCTGAAATCCAGTACCCGTGGAGACAGACAAGACAAATGGAATACATAACTGGTTCACAAAATGCCATCTTGTTCGTCCTCTAGTGGGAATTCAGAAAAATCAAGTTTTCTTTCCTACGATGTAGTTATCATTGGCCTCTTGATAAGACCAGGGGGAAGGAATGAAATATGGAGCATTAATTATTTTTGAAGAAAGCAGGTTAAAGCAAATCATTTTTGTTCAGTTTATTGCTTTGTACTCAAGTGTGAGTTATCGTTTATTGGACAGCATAGTGGGACCTGCACAGTGAACTGAACAATGAAAGTAAAAATGCAGCCACATGTAAATATTGCAATGGGATTATCTTGTCTTAACATCTTACTGAACATTCGAGACTGAACCCCAAACAGTAACCATGTCAAGTTTTTATGATCTTTCAGTTTTACTACATTTTAAAAACATTCCCCGGAAACTTCTAACAGCCCACATATTCTGGGATATTTTGTTAAAGATTGCACGCCTTTGTGCTTTCTTTTATCCCTCTGTTTCTCTCTGCTGTAGTATTTCTTTGGCCTTTGAACTTAAATAGCTACCAGTTTGTCACAAAAGGTAATATTAGTGTCTTTCTTTTTTGTTGTTTGTTTGTTTGTTTTTGTTTTTCCAGACAGGGTTTCTCTGTGTAACTTTGGAGCCTGTACTGGAACTTGTTCTGTAGACCAGGCTGGCCTCAAACTCACAGATATCCTCCTGCCTCTGCCTCCTGAGTGTTGGTATTAAAGGTGTGCGCCACCACCACCCAGCTAATATTAGATTTTTAAGCCACTTGAGGTAAAAAAGCTAAACCCACTGGGTCTTATTCGAGACTGATTTGAGCAGTCTTGGAGAGTATGGTTAAGAATTAGGTAGAAGCCCACGCAGGTTGCAGATAGTTGGAGCAGGGGTCAAACTACAGAGAAGTAGTCTCAGGAAAAGCCAGGTACAGAACTTTTGAAAATGATATGTAGAATCTCCTTTTACATTTGGCTTTTACCTTTTTGTTAATTTCCTCTTTAAAAAAATGTCTTATGATTAAATTATGTAAGTTTTATGGCGTGTTTTTAAGGTCTCTCTTCAGTTCACTGTTTTGATGCCAAACTGCCAACAAATGAAGCACATATCATTGAGTAGGCAGTGGAAATCTGAAGAGAAAATAAATAGACATCACAGAGCTGACTTCGGTCATACACCACTATTGGTCTTCCTGGTGACGTAGGCTTTGTTCATGCATTTACTTTTAAGATTCAAAAACACAAGTGTTCTTTATGCATGCTGGACTATAAAAGGGATCCTGTTAGAAAACTAGACAAGAAGAAAATGTCCACGGACAGTCAACTCAATGTTGTTTAAAAGCTTATGTCTTGTGGTCAAGTATGTAGTAGAAGACTTTGACTAAAGTCAGCACATTTTCCCTCCATTGGGAAAGAGCTCCTTGTTCATAGCTGATATTCTACCAAAGTACTGAACAGCAAAAGACTCACAAGGTTCAAGCTCTTTTGCAGGCAAATATGGAAATGATTAACTCTAACTTGCTGTAGAAAAAAACTTCATGAATATGGGGATCTCTGCCAACACCTTCTGTTTGTTTTTATTTCATACCATCTTTCAGTTTTGTTTTTAAATTTCCTTCTCTCCAGAAGAAAATGCCAAACACAAATAAACATTACAAGGGGAGTTTTTAATGAAAGGAAAAACAAACAACCCACCCTCAAAACAATACCAAGCAGATTTTTTTTAAAAAAAAAAAAGGCAATAAATACACATTTAAAAAAGCAAACAGCTTGGAGCTAGAGAGATGAGTCAGAGGTTAAGAGCACTGCTTGCTCTACCAGAGGTCCTGAGTTCAATTCCCAGCAACCACATGGTGGTGGCTCACAACCATCTGTAATGAGATTTGGTGCCCTCTTCTGGTCTGCAGGCATACATGCAGCATGGCAGAACATGGTATATGTAAATAAATCTTTAAAAAGGCAAACAGTTTATAAAGAACAGTTTAAGGAGCTCGTCCTGGAGACTCATGGCTCAAACTGTGACAGCAAAAATAGCAGAAAGTTTGATCAAAGTAGGGATTAAAATACCAAGTACAGGGGCTAGAGACGCAGTTAAGAGCACTTGACGCTCTTGCAGAGAACCCAGGTTCTGTTAAATAGACAAACTTTTAAAAATTATCTTTTATTTTTCTTAAAAAATAGACTTTTCTTTTCCTGTCCTTTAGTTCTACTAATTTATTTTTCATTGTGGGTTTCAAAAGAGAGAATCGGGTATGGTAGCGCACACCTGTGGTCCGAGCTACTCAGGAAGTTGAGGTAGAAGGACTGCTTGTACTCTGAATTTCAAGACTAGACTAGACAACGCAGTGAGACCCAGCCCAAAATAAACAAAAGGGGAAACTGCATACATATAAGGAGGAAAAGTCCTAAATAAAAACAAAGTTTAAACAGAAACACTCTCAATTATAATCTGCCATTTTAGGTGAATATTTAGCAATCTGTGGGACTGATTTCTTGTGAAGAGACAGAAATTCTCAGATACTTAGTATTTAGATCAAACACTCTGTGGGCATATACTAGAGATAAAAGGGGACAATATGGAAGAAGTTTTTTAAATTGGTGGAGTGAGTGAGTTATGCTGCATATCATTGGAACAGACATAGCTTTTTAGCAAGATGTGAAGTGAGCCGAGGGTGGGGGAGGATACACCTGAAATCCAGCACTTGAGGAGGCTGAGGCAGGAAGATGGTTACGTACCAGGCCAGCCTGAGCTATCGAGTGAGATTCTGAGTAGAAAACCATAACTACAAGACAAAACTGAACAAAGAAAAGGTCTAAAGTCCCTGGATACCCAGTACCGTCGTTCCGTGTGGATATGTGACCCAAATGGTTGAAACATTTAGGAAAAACCAGTTCTGACCTGCATATTGCCTCTGGCCTCCAAAGTCGATGAAATTGTCCTCTTGTCCTTTATCCAGGAACTGGACTTCCTTCTCGTGCGCGAGCTGTGCGATCGTGACCTGCAGCTGTTTGACCCGGGTCTCAAGCTGGTGCACCTGAGATCGGAGCCTCTCCTGCTCCCGCAGACAGTGCACATCCTCGAGGGCCTGCAAGGCAATGTGCAGCTCACGTTTATGGGAAAGAAAGCTTGCCAATAATCTGGATAAATCCTTGATTCAATGTTGTCTCCGACTCCCATATCAGAATGCTATTTCAACCAGAAAGTCATTTTATTTTTCCCAGAACTTTGAGTATGTTAGTCTTTGGTCCTTTGGAACGGCTAAAGGAGACACATGCTCATTGAAATCACTTTCAGATAATCTTGGTAATATATACTAATTATGTTTGATATTGGCCCAAGACCAACACTAACTACCATGGTCAGTTTTGAACACCTGATACCACGTGAAAAAGGAAATAACACGGCTTAAAAATATTTCGGTGATTTGTTGCAAATCCTGATTTTTATTTTGAAAGTATTTAAGTGTTACTATGTACCACATGTTTCCACAGAACTTTCCCATTCCTTAGGAGCAAGTTAATATCGTTAATATTCCTTTTCTAGAAACTAAAAAGAAATGCCGTCTCTAAGCGATCCTTATAAAAGTCTGCACAATAGGCTTACCCAGCTTTTCCTGCCCATTATCAGAGCAATGGAGACCAGGACCAAACCGCGAATGTCCCTCATTCTTCACACAGAAAGAACTACAAAAGAAAGAATTTCTCATGAGGTTCAGACTCAACAGGTTCAGATAAAGCTTCAGAGCACCTGGGGGTTACCCAGAAATGTATCCCCTACTTACTACTCAGCCTTCTGTCACACAGAATGATGGGAATCGACCGGATCAAAGCCTAGAAAATAATTGAACCCACTCAATGCAGACACGCAACGGGGTCCAATTTCATCAAGGGCTTGAATGTACTGCTTCATACGTATGGAAAAGGGCAGGAAAAAGATGACAGACTGGGACCCTCTTTTGCCTCAGTCAGTTCCTAACTGTATGATTTTAGGCAACTTACCAAAGTGCTCCTGTTCTGTAAAGTGGAAATGAGACTCCTATCTACTTTATAATACTGCAAAAATATTGGAATAATATTTTTAGATAGCTGGACCTTCATGTGCTAAATGAATACCAGATAATGAGTTAGAATTCTAAGTGGAGGACTATTTTTATTTTTAGAAGAAGAAAATTATAATAGAGGTTGGTGCACACTGTTTCGTTTTTCCTCTTTCTTTCTTTCTTTCTTTTTTTTTTTTTGAGAAAGGGTCTCACTATGTAGCCCTGATTGGGCTGGAACTCCTTACATATGCCAGGCTGGCCTTGAACTCACAGACACCTACCTGCGTCTGTTTCACAGGTGTTGTAGACTGTTTATCTTGATGTATTAATATGCACATAAGAAATCATAATGTAAAATGTTAAGTTCTATTTTATTCCTCTGCTTCGCCTCCTCACCACCCCCTCACTCCACTACTTAAAACCACTTTGAGGCTTCCCCTCATCCCAGTCAGAATGACAGAGCTAAAAAAGAAAAAAAAAGCAAATGACAACACATGCTGTCCCAGGGGTGGGAAAGAGGAACACTTCCTCACTGCTGGTGGGAGTAGAACCGGCGGTTACTGCAGAAATCAGTGAGGCGGTTCCTCAGAGAGCCAGAAATAGGTCTACCGTAAGATCCAACTGTATCACTCTGGAGCTGATACTCAAAGGCTCTTTTGCTGCTGGTAAGAGAGGAGTTTGCTGTGCTCATTGCTGCCCTATTCGTGATAGCTAGGCAACAGAAGCAGCGCAGATGTCCACCAACTGATGAATGGGTCATGGGACATTTACATCGCGGAATTATTTGTCTGTTAAGAAAAATAAACTCATCAAATTTGCAAGTAAATGGACAGAACTGGAAGCGACTATTCTGAAATACCCAGATCCCAAAAGATAAACATCTCATGTTCTCACTCATCTGAGTATGCGATCTTTGTATCTTCAGATATATATATGTTTCCTTTGGTTTATATACCTGTAGAGGTTAAGAAGTCAGTAAGGGGCCACTGTTAGTGGAGCTTTGGGGGTGGGAAAATATTATAACAGCGGAACAAAGGACTCAAGGGGAATAACGGAGCAGGAAGGACTCTTAAGAGGCAGAATTAGTCAATGACTACCTTGAAATTGTGTTTTCCAGACATGAGAGTTCACACACCATGAATTCATAGAGCCTGTGATTGTGTGCATAAAACCTGGACAAGATTAGTTCAGACAAAGTCCAAGCATGGGTGAGAGGGAGTCTCACAGTCCCACCTTCAGCTGACGGATGGCTGATGGGGTAGATATGCAGCCCCTGAGAAGATACCCATGCTCAAGAAGGTGGTCCTACACCCACACACATAGAAGCAGAAGGTTGGTTTTTCTTTTAAGTCATTGGGGTTAAAAGAAGAGAGAGTACACAAAGGTGGGAGAGAATGATGGGATCGATAAGGAAGGGAGTGGAGGGGAGGGTATAGAAAATAGTAAATAGATGTGATAAAAACTGCTTTTAAAAAATGTAAACATTAGGGGCCTGGAGAGGTGGCTCAGCAGCTAAGAGCCAAGGCTGTTCTTCTAGAGGACCCGGGTTCAGTTCCCAGTGTCCACATGGCGACTCACAATGGTCCTTAACTCCAGTACCAGGAGACCCAGCACCCTCATACAGACATACATGCAGGCAAAACACCAATGCCCATAAAATAAAGCAAATAAAAAGAAATATTGCTTAGCATTGATATTTAGTAGAAAAAAATGTAAAAAACCAATGAAAACATTTTGACAGGTTTCTGTCTCTTGGTGGACTAGTGTTACCAACTCAGAAGCAGCCCCTCCTCTGGCAGATCTTTAAATAAAAAAGGCATGTCAGAATGTCCTTATATCTTTTTCAAAGTGCTTACGTTAATGTCACTATCAAACATTCTCAGGAATTTGCTAGGTCTTCTAAATTTGTGCCCAGATTTGTAATTCTACCCGACATCTTCTTCATTTTGGAAGAGTTTTTGGGAGTAATATTACAGAGCTTTCTTTGAAAATCTGACCTTGGGGCAGGGACATGGCTTAGCAGATAAAAGCACTTGCAGAAAGCCTTGCATGGTGGTTTGATGGGAAATGTCTCCTTATAGTCTCAGGCTTATGAACACTTGGTTCCCTGCTTGGTGGTGTTGGTTCCACAGGTTTAGAAGTTGTGAACTTGCAGGAGGAAGTGTGTCACTGAGGGCAAACTTGGAGATTTGAAAGCCTCTAGTCAATCTAGGTGTGATCTCTCCGCTTCCTGCTTGAGCTTCAAAATGTAAGTTCTCTCTTAGGCTTATTGTTCCAGCTACATCTACGGCCTCTGCCTTACAGTCATGAGCCCTAACTCTGGAATCATAAGCCCAAATAAACTCTTTCATTACTTGCCTTGGTCTGGAATGTTATCGTCACCATAGAAAAGTAATTGACACAGCTTGCTACCTGAATTTCACTGCCAGAACTCATGGTGGAGGGAGAATCTCTCTCTCTCTCTCTCTCTCTCTCTCTCTCTTCCTCTCTCTCTCTCTCTCTCTCTCTCTCTGCCAAACCTGGTCTGTCTGTCTCTCTGTTTCTGTGTGTGTGTGTGTGTGTGTGTATGTCTCTCTCTCACACATACAAATAAATAAATGATCTAAATTAAACTCCAGTTTTCATTATTTACGATAACAAACCATCCTGTATTCTGCACATCTAGTTTATAATAATATCATGTCAAGTACCCTGTACCCTGTGCCTTATCATCCACTATGATTGGTTGGATTTATTTTATAGTATTTTTGCTTTAGGTATTTTGAGTTATAAATCATTATACTTTAAGTTTACTATAAGAATAATCATCCCTTAAAATTCTTTTCAAATAGCTTCCTTACTATTCAATATGATTTATTTTAAGGAGGGTAGGGATATAGATCAGTGGTAGAATATTCATTGCATGATTAGGCTCTTGGTTCAGTTCCCAGAACCTAAACAAAAAAAATTAGTTTGAAAGCTATAAATTTTAATTCATTGCAGTGTGTATGTGTGTGTGTGTGTGTGTGTGTGTGTGTGTGCGTGCATGTGTGTGTGTGTGTGTCTCACTATATTGTTCTAACTGGCCTGGAGCTCCTAGTGTCAACTCTTCTGGATTCAAACTTGCAATAATCCTCTTGCTTCTGCCTCCCAAATGCTGTGTTACTGGCATGTGCCACCATCCCGATTTCTGATTAGCAGTTTCAAAGTTAACAAATTATGCTGCATTCAACTTGAAGGCAAAAATGTCTAACTTTAGAAATAAAATGTGGTTATACTGTGGTACATGCCTTTTATAAACAAAAACAAAATGTTGTATGTTAGTAACAAAATTAAAATATGTTTTGAATGGGCTGTTATGAGAGGATATGAGATAATATAAAATTTAAAAAAGGGACTCCAGCCAGTGAAGCAGACCGGCACCTTGTGGGCCATCATCAGAGAAGCTTCCTCCTGCAGTAGATGGGAATAAATGCAGAGACCCGCAGTCAGATATGCAGAGAGTGAGAGACTTTGGAACACTCGTTCCTAGATGGGATGTCACCATCAAATTCACTCCCTCAGAGCTCAGGGAACCTAGAAAAAGAGGAAGCAGAAAGAATGGGAGAGCCAGAGTAGATGGAGGACACCAAGAACACAGAGCCTTCTAAATCACACTGATCCAGACACATAAGAACTCACAGAGACCGAGGCAGCACACACAGCGCCTGCACCGGGCTTAGCTTCCAGTTTAATGTTTTCATGGGATTCCTGGGTGTGCAAACAAGTGGGTCTCTGCTTACTGGGCTTCCCTTGGGCTCTTTTCCTTCTATTTGTTTGTCTTGTCCAACTCAGATGTGTTAGTTTTTGTTTACATTATTATATTAATCCTTAGAGGCCTGTTTGTTTTCTAATGAGAGACAGAAGGGAGTGGATTTAGATGGGAGGGGAGGTGGGGAGGAATTGGGAAGATTTACAGGTAGGGTAGGGGAAACCTTTCAATAAAATGAAAAGGAATAAATGTAAAAGGGAGGAAAAGTTATTTAAAGCAGTGTGTTTTCTAAGTTAGCAGTCACACATGAGCTACAACCTTAACGTAAACAGTTAAAATTTTACCCGTAAGCACAGACTGAGAGACTGCTTTTTCCAAATCTGCCCTCATTTTCTGAAAATAGAATATAACTATATTCTCATTATTTATACTAAGAGTTTATAATTTTTAAAAAGCTTTAAAAAAAAACTAAACATATTTGATCTCCAAATAGCTGAAGTAAAGAAAGGAGTTTGGGACGCCCAGAGCACAATGTGATCTGTTCTTTTTGTTTGTTCCTTTGTAGGCTGAAATGAAATGGAAAGCTCTACCTTGAGCCTCTCCTCCAAACTCACCCAAACTATAAAGAGGCTGGAAGCTAGTTAAATTCTACATCTCTCCTCCAAACCGCTGACCCGCCTTTATTGTCAATCATTCCAATCCCTCTTGAAGGCCCGTGGTGGTGTTCTGAGTTGTGGTGACTGTCATCAGCGCTACCACAGTACAGTTAAGAGTGCAGATAATGACTTACCTCAAGTCAAAGTGAATCAGTCCTCGCCTAGGCTCAGTCCAGACACAGCCTCCCAGGAACTGCTAACCGAAGGCAGCATTTGTAAATTGTCTTCTCCATTATTTGATTAGCAACTGGCACAGTTGATTCTGGCTCTAATCCAGAAACAACATGAGGAAATCAGTTTAACTGGAAGGAAGACAAGAAAATAAATCAAGGGCAAACCCCCAAAACTCTTACATTTTCAATTTCTCCCACTTACATGAACTTTTATTGGATTATATATCTTTATTTTTATGTTTTTAAGATTTATTTATTTATTATGTATACAGTGTTCTGCCTGCACATCAGAAGAGGGCACCAGATCTCATTACAGATGGTTGTGAGCCACCATGTGGTTGCTGGGAATTAAACTCAGGACCTTTGGAAGAGCAGTCAGTGTCCTTAAGCTCTAAGCCATCTCTCCAGCCCAGATTATATATCTTGATTTCAGCCTTTTATACTTATGCACACCCAGAGAAATTCGCATTTTAGCTATCCTAAAATCAAAGTGCAGCTGAAGCTTTGCCTTATAGATGTTAAAGTTAATAAACTGCTGCCTGCGAAGAGGGGCGCTAAGTATAATTTCAGCTAAGACATGGATAGAGGCCACATTTTTCTTAGGTATGAAAACATCACCATCACAGATTGAATGGCCAGTTTATTTGATCTCTTTTTTATTATTTTTCTTTATTTTTGAGAATTTTCGACCTGAAAACATGAAATAATATCTATCACCCATTCCCCTCCAAGTTCCCTCATGTCCTCGACAGCATGATCCCCTCCCTAACATCACTTTTTTCCTCCCTTCCTCCCTTCCTCCCTCCCTTCCTCCCTTCCTCCCTTCCTCCCTTCCTCCCTTCCTCCCTTCCTCCCTTCCTCCCTTCCT